CAACATGACCTCCCTACTCCTGTACTCAATGCACTGGCCAATAAAGGCCAAGCATACCAAATGCCTTCTTCAGTCTCCTGTCTACCTGAGGCTTCACTTTCAAGGAACGATGAACCTGCACTCAAAGGTCTCTTTGTTCAGCAACACTCTGCGGGACTTTACCATTAAGTGTATAGGTCCTGCCATGATTTGCCTTTCCAAAATGTAGCACCTCACATTTATTCAAAATAAACTCCACCTGCCATTCGTCAGCCCATTGGACCATCTGATCAAGATCCCATTGTACTCTGAGGTAACCTTCTTCACTGTCCACTACACCTCCAATTTTGGTGTCATCTGCAAACTTACTAACCATACCTCTTTCTTTACATCCAGATCACTGACAAAAAGCAGTGGACCCAGCACCGATCTTTGCGGCACACTGGTGGTCACAGGCCTCCAGTCTGAAAAGCAACCCTCCACCATTACCTTCTGTCTCCTATCTTCAAGCCAATTTTGTATCCAAGTGGCTAGTTCTCCCTATATTCCATGTGATCCAACCTTGTTAACCAGTCTTCCATGTGGAATCTTGTTGATCACCTTACTGAAGTCTATAAAGACAATGTCCACCCTTCTGCCTTCATCAATCCTCTTTGTCACTTCTTCAAAAAACTCAATGAACTATACCTGCAGACTTCAGAAACTCTGACCTACTTTTGTTGCCACAACTTTTAAATGGCTGGTTCAGTTCAGTTACTCATCAATGGTAACTCTTAGAATGTTGCTCGTAGGGAATTCAGCAATGGCAGTGCTTTTCAATGTCAAGCAATGATGGTTAGATTTTCTCTTTATGCGGATCCCATTGCCTGGCACTTGCTTGACATGAATGTTACTTACCAATTAAAAGCCTAAGCCTGGATGTTGTCTAGGTCTTGCTGCATTTGGACAGTATCCTCAGTGTCTGAGAAGCCATGAATAGTACCAAACATTGTGCTAAAACATCAGCAAATGTCCCACCTCTGATCAAAAATCTGAAATAACTGTGGATGCTGGAAATCAGAAACAAAAACAAAAACAGAAACAGAAATTGCTGGAAAAACTCAGTAGGTCTGGAACAGGTCTGAAGAAAGGTCACTGGACCTGAAACATTAACTCTGATTTCTCTCCACAGATGCTGCCAGATCTGCTGGGTTTTTCAAGCAATTTCTGTTTTTGTTTTTAATCCCACCTCTGATCACATGCTGGAGAGAAGGTCCTTGTTGAAACAACTGAAGATGGCAAGGGCCAACACTCTCGCCTCACCTTTGCATTTTAGCTCTTTTATTCAGGTTTGGACCAAGTCTATAATGAAGTCAGGCGGTGTGTGTCCCTGGAGGAACTCAATCAGAGCATCAGTGAGTAGGTTACTTCTGAGCATCCCACTTGACAGCACTGTTGGCAACCCCTTCCATCATTCTGATGGCTGAGCATAGATAAGTCAGTGACTAGGTTGGAGATGTCCACTGTTGTGTACACAACATACCTGGGAATATTTCCTCATTATTGGGTAGTTGACAGTGCTGTAACTGCACTGGAAAATCTTGGCTAGGGGCATCTCTAGTTCTAGAGTACAGTTCTTCAGTACTATTACCACATTGTAATAAGATTCCATCACCTTTGGAGTGTCCGGTGCTTTCAGCCACTTATTGAAATCACATGAGTGAATGGAATTGGTTGAAGTCAGGCATTTGTAATGCTGGGGACCACTGGAGGAAGCCAAGATACATCCTTCATTTGGCATTTTTAGCTCAAGGTGGATGCAAATGTTTCAGTTGTGTCTTCTACACTTACGAGTTAGAATTCCCCATTGTTGGGAAGGGGACATTTGTGCAGCCTTCTAGCCCTGTTAGTTGTTTAAACGTCCACCACCACCATTCACAACTGATCTGTCAGTTCTGGGATCAGGAAGCCCTGTCTATTGCATGCTGCCTCCACTTTTGGCATGCAAACAGTTCAGTACTGTAGCTGGACCAGGTTGACGTTTCATTTTAGTTATGCTTGATGCTGCTGCTGGATTTCCCTCCTGCCCTCTTCATTGAAGCAGGGCTGATCCCTTGGCTAATGATAATGATAGAGTGGGGATATGCCAGGCCATGAGGTTAAAGATTGTGGTTGAATACAATTCTGCTGCTGCAGATGGCCCGTACTGCCCCATGGATGCCCAGTTTTGAGTCACTGCATAGGTTCACATTTAGCGTGGTGGTTCTACCACACAACATGGTGAAGGACATCTTCAGTGTGAAGATGGGACTTTGCCTCCACAAATACCCATCTTTTCCTTTAACAGATATCTCTTGTTCCTTATTTAAAGCACAGACTTGGAACCTTTTTGATTTACTTGTAAGCATGAAAACTTTGGTCATTGGTCAGCAGGGGGAGTAATGATCACCAATACAATTACCATGGCCAGTTTTTCCTTTCCCCGCCCTCACCCATACATCATCAGTACCTTACAATTCTTTTATGGTCAAAACTCTTCCTCCTGCACACTCACCCCCACCCCCACAAAACATCATATTCCTCATCAGCACCTACCACTACCACACTACCATGGCTTTTTGGGTCACCAGGTTATACACCCACTGGTTGAAATGTCACTTATTTCATTTCATTTCGCCCTCCCAGTGGGTTTTAAAGGTATTAATGGAGTTGTTCTGCTGGGAACCACAACATTAAAGCATCCTGTTGGTGGCCCAATCTCACTTCTAACTAGGAATAATATTCTTTTGTTTGACAACGGAAGCTTGCTGGTTAAATTCAAGTGACACCTAAACTCGAAAATCGCTTTTGTCCCCTCCAACCATGGCATTGAGCAGATCACTTCATATACATAACTGAAATAAAACTATCCTTAGATACTAGATTAATGTTCAAACTATTATAAGAGGTGGTCTGGGATAAACTCTTCACTGGTACAATCACAAATTTAGTGACATTGAAGTCAATTGAAAATAAATTTGGTGTAATGTGAAACAGGCAGCCAAATCACTGTAAACTCATTCTTTATGACTGACAAAGATTAATTACAACCCTGTTACTCTGCTCTGATGACAGCAGCAAAATGAAAACAAACTGTGCATTGGACCTCCATGTACCCTCTCAGCTGAAAGTATTTTTACAGAATATTACATGAAATTTGAATAGGAAAGTTGCTACAATTGAAGTTATTCCAGTTGAAACTGGATAACTTCCCATTCTAAAAGCAATAGAGATGCTATCTTGCTGAAGAAATATTATCAAAGGAACTGTTGGATAAATTGAATTTCCTAAATCGATTGGGCTGAATGGCCTTTTATCTCCCAGAGCAAAACCATGCTCAAAATTCCTGATATCTGCAACTGGGGAGTGAAGTTTTTTGATCATAATGCACTTGTAAAATTTACCCTTCAGCTCTAAAAGAACAGAGCACTTAAACATTTGTATGGAATGTCTTTATCTTTTATTTCAAGAAAAATGTTAATGTGTATTAAAGAAATCATTATAACCTACATATGAATAGTATAGGAATACATGAAGAACTCACCTAACAATCATCTACACTGAGGATTTCCATTACAACAAGCATAATGGTGTGCAACAAACAGTTTAATTAAGAGCTTGGGAAACAATATTAGAAAACATGATTTTCTTTAAATTTTCCTGACTGGCTCAAAACATATTTAGAATTCTAGGGCATTCTAAGGTAAAGATCACTATGTCACTGTCACATCATCATGTGCTTTTTATCTCATTAGTCAACAGTCAATCTGTGGTCCACCACAGGAACACCTTTGCGAGGTTTTGTACCAAGGTTCACACTGTAGCCTCAGAATAACCTGTGCTAAACTGATTGGATCAAATACAGAATGCCATACTATTGGGCATGTAATTAGCTCCAGAACCCATTATATCACTGGTCGAAACATGGAAAAAACAGAGCTTTTAGAGACAGATAAAGGATAAATTTTATGAGTGATTATCATAAAAAAGCTTCACTCTTCAGCATGATATATCAGGAAATTTTGAATTCCAATGGGGAGATACGGGTGACCGTCCTTGATGTCAACTCATCTTGTGATTGTGTATGACACCAAGAAGCCTTGGTGAAATTGCTGTCAATGGGATTCAAGGGGAAAACCCTACAAGTTGGATCCAACATAAAGGAATATGAAAGCCAATCATCTCAGGTCTAGGAGTTCTTCAGGGTAGTGACATAGGTCCAACCATCCTCAGCTGCTTTATCAATAAACTTTCCTCCATCATAAGGTCAGAAGTGGAATTCACTGTTAATTGCACGATTTCAACACTGTTCATAGATCCTCAGACGCTGAAAGTCTGCCCCAGAAAAGACCAAGACACGGACAGCATTCAAAATTTTCTGATAAATGGCAAAAAATGCATTTATGCCACACAAGTGTAAAAGGAATGATTATCTCTCCTCTTGACATGCAATGGCATTACCATCTCCAAAATTTCTGCTGTCAACACCCTAGAAATTATGATTGACTAGAGACTAAACTGGAACAGATTTATAAATACTGTAGCTCTAAGATATGCTCAGAGGTTAGAAATTTTGTTGCAAGTAACTCGACTCCTGGTTCCCTGAAGACTACACGCCTTCTGCAAGGCACAAGATAGGCATATGATGGATTGCTCTAAACATTTCTGGATGAGTGATTCCAAAGGTGCTCAGGAAACTTGGTGACAATCAGGAAAAGGTAGTGTCCTTGAACAGCACCTTATTCATCAACTTACTCATTCACTCATTGTGGCAGAGGTGTGTAGCATGATGCACTGCAGCAACTGGTCATGGCTACTTCAAAAGCATTTCCCAAACCTGTGACCTCTACTGTCTGAAAGAACAAACATTAGCACCTGAACATTGCTCTCCAAGTCATATACCATTCTGGACTCAGACAGACAGAGACTGGACAAAGGCTGAACTATTTCGATAGAATTGTTTCTCAATATGTTGAAAGACAGAAGTAAATGAAAGTACTCACCATTGGTGAAGGTGACAGAGAAATATTCCCCACAGAAGCCTTCAGCTCATCCACTGATGCTGCCACACACATGATGGAATCTTTAGCCTGGAGAGGCCTAATCTTAATGTTGAATTTTCGCCGTGTGTCTTCTTCTGATTCAGATTCACTTGACGAATAAAAGTGTTTCTCTTTGGTAGGTGAAACTCAATTAAGGAAAATTATTTACTTAAAAGTAGTGCAGCAGGACAACTAAACAGTCAAGAATGAATTGAAAAACAGATATATTACTTTCCTCCCTTTGCCCTGCATTTTGGCTTTAGCCCCTTTTCTTTCCTTGCCCATTCAAGGAATAAAACTCTGGCAGGAAGCTGCAACACAAAGGCACTCGTGGTTACTTACGCACGAAACGCAGAAGGTTAGCACACAGATGCAGCAGGTAATCAGGAAGGCTGAAGGAATGTTAGCGCTTATTTCAAGATGGTTGGAGTACAAATAGGAAAGTCTTATTACAAATGTACAACATGCTGGTGAGACCACATCTGGAGTACTGAGAGCAGTTTTGGGCCCCTTATTTGAGTAAAGAAACTATTTCATTGGAGGTAGGTCGGAGAAGGTTCACTAGATGATCCTCAACATGGAGGGATGGCTTATGAGCAAAGATTAAACAGGTTGGGACTCTACTCATTGGAACTTAAAAGAATGAGAGGTGTTCTCATTGAAATATATAGGATTCTTAAGAGGCTTGGCAGGGTTAATGCTGAGAGAATGTTTCCCCTTATGGAAGGGTCTAGGACCAGAGGGAATAGTCTCAGAATTAAGGGTTTCCAATTTAAGAATGAGATGAGGGGGAATGCCTTCTGTCAGAGCATTGTGAGTCTTTGAAACTCTGTGCCACAGAGAGCTTGAAGGGGCAGAGTCCTTGTGTATATTTAAGGTTGAGATCAATAGATTCTTGATCAGTTGGGGAAGCAAAGTTTATGGGAAAAGGCAGGAAATTTGACGTGAAGTGTGTCAGGCCAACCATGGTCCTATTGAATGGCAGAGAAGGCTCGAAGAGCCGAGCACCCTACTCCTGTTCTTATTTCTTATGCTCTTATTGTTCACTAAGTCCCATTAATCTAATTCCTTGGTGCTTTGTTCAATTAACCATTCTGCATGGAGCTGGTGCATGACCAATGTTTGGCAGTTGTGGCAAAGGAAGCAACATATGTGTAACCTCTTCTACTGTCCTTTCTCATTTTCCCCACTCTTGGGATCCCATGCTTTATCATTCTGTCCTTAGACCTTTGTATCTCCCTGTTCTACTATAAAATGTACTTAAATTGCCTGCTAAACTAGCTTGTGTGCTTATTCAGAACAGAAAAAAGGCAATTCAATCAATATCTTATAATGCGTTTTGTACATTTAAAACGTATTGCAGATGTTTATTGCCTCTATTGGATGGATATGGTTCAATATTGAACTCTTGGTAATATACTGGAATTCAGAAAAAGTGGACAGAAAATACCCAAAACTCTCAGGAGATTAGTCAGCACCTCTGGACAGGGAAGTTAAATAAGTTCAGAAAGGTCCAAAAGGATATAACCTGATTTGTCATCCGGCCTGATGCTGTAACCTTCATCATCAACTTCTGGGGAATTCTGAAAATCAGACAAGAAATATAATGAATGCCAAGAAGATTTTCAACCATGATTACTTTTCTGTTGTTGTGTTCATGAGCAACTATTTTGTTGTTTATAAAACAATTTGAAATGGAGTGATTCACAGCAGCTGCCACCTTTGTCTCAACCTACTCAAGAACGGAGTTTCAGAGATATTCTGGGAAGCAGAACTTTCAGGGGAGCACAGTTTTAGATTGCTGAGACCTTACACTTAACTACATTTCAAAATAAACTTTATTTTCTAAATGTTTATGTTTTTAACTTGTGGCATTACATTTTCCATGACAAATTTTAAATAGCAAGAGTTATGTCAATTTATTTTGTTTACCGAATTAACACTTTGGCATGGAACCACTACGCCTGCCCACAACTTGCTGTGTAATATCATTCTTGTATCTAATTAAATAGTTTGCAGGAGATACTAAACAATATGCAGTGGTAAAGGACTCTTGTGGCTCAGTATCGATGTCCTTCCATGGAAGCCAGAAGACCTGGGTTCAAGTCTCACCTGCTCTGGAGATGTGCCACGACATCTTGGAAAAAACTGATATTAAAAAGTTTATCTACCCAGTAGTGCCCATGTCCAAATGAAGCCAGCTGAAATCCTGGACATGCATACTAAGATTTAGTTGAAACACAAAGTGTAAGTAGTTATCTTTAATCAGCTTAGAAACATTTTTTCTTTTCTTATCTGTTTTGTGATGATTAAAGTGACAGGTTCTTTTTAGGAAGTGGAATATCTCAGCCTAAGTCTTTGAAGACATCCTACTATTCTGCCATCAAGATCTTTTCTATCATCATTACTGAAGTAGTATTCTGCTGAAAGAGTGAATTAAGCCTGGCCAAATGCATTCCATTTAAAAAGTGTACTTCATTTTTGTTCCAATAATATAAATTACTGAATCAACTTGTAGATTGTTTTAAACAACCTGTTCAGAGATGCCATTATACATCTCTGGGGTGGTGGGATTTGAACTCTGGCCTAGACGTAGGGACACTACCACTATGCCACAAGAACCCCTCTGGAGCAGCTCGCATAACAATTACAAATCACAAGGTAATTTCAGATGTTGCTTTGACCTTCTTCAGCGGTTTCATTTAACTAATATTAACAGTAATACATTGCACATATTCCATGTGTGACCCTACAAAAGATGTATTTTTAAAATTTTCAACTCTGTTTACGTATATTGCAGTCTCTTCTCTTTATTGCATCTTCTTATTTATTCAATTCTTCAACTTAATTCAATTCAGCATTGATTGCAAAGGTTCATGAACTGATCATCATGTTTTCAAAATGATTACCTTATGTAATGACCAGACAAATCACAGCTAATGGCTACAAAGCATTAAGGTAACTTTAATGATAATTAGATATTTGCCTCAACAAGATGATTATTAATGGACACAGGGGCTGAGCAGGAGAGTGGAATTAGATCAGGTGAATCCTATTGAAAAAACATAGGCTTGATGGCATAAACAGACCACTTCTGTGCTGCAGCATTATCTTGTTCTATTAGAACAAAACCAAGAAGTGTGAAATGATAAAACAAAAATTGAGTACATTGATGGGCATTCAGCTCACCTGAACTCATCCAGTCATAATGATCCGACAGTACTTGTCCCCGTCAAGGCTTCAAATGTATCTTAAAATGTTCCAGGATTTCCACTTTCTCTTATACTTTATATGGAAGTCCATTTCCTGTTTTGATTATGCTTGTGCCACAAATTTCCCAAATTTATCATTTACTAATTTGAACCCATGTCCTACTGTTTCTCTCTTACCATTTACTTTGAAATTATATTCTGGATGTAGATTTTCCAATCCTCAACTAACTTTCATTAACTATAAGAACACCTCCCACATGTCTTTCAGGTCTGAATCGTATGCACTACTTCCAGGTTTGCCTCATAAATCAAACATTTGACACTGGGGAGCAACCTCACATTCTTGACAGCACCATTTCAGAATTTAAATATCTCCTTGATTTCTCAGCAGCCAGAATGACACAGTAGTTAATGTACGGTCTGATGAAAGGCTCAAACAATTTGATCATAATCTGACATGCATCCTGTGTTTTGCCATGTAGTTCCACATTTAATTGGCTGTGTTGATTTTTACTCTACATTTGTTGAACATGTGGAGCTTTAAAGTTTACTAGGATTCCTTGATTTCTTTACATCTCTTCCTTAGCAATTCCCATACTGTTTACGGAACATGTGCATGCCACCATTTCTTTTTGCCTAAATATAATGCTGACACATGAAGCATTACATTTCATATTTACCCTTTGGGCCATGTTTTCATGGTGTTGCCCCTCCTGTTTGGTATATCAGAATATTTGATTATTGTACATTGCGTTTCTGACTCATTTATGTGGAGTTGAAAATAGTCATCTTTAGGGCATTCCACGCACCGTTCTTGCACATTGAGCTTCCTGCTCCCACAAACTACATCCACCTTGATAAAACTGCTCTCATAACAACCCATTACTTTCCATCTTTCAAGCAATTTACTACCTCTTCTAAAAAGTCACCATGAATTCCCATCAATGTCACTTTGATAATATGAAGGATTGTCTTTATAGATTGCCTGTCTTGAAGAAGTTCTGTCCCACTCTTTGTCATAAGCTGGCATTTAATGGCCTACCCAAAGGGGAGATTTTTGACAGGTGGAGACCCCACCATCTTCCCATTCCTGTTCCAATTACATCCATGTGTGAAGGTCCACAGGGGGCATCCCTCCATGTTGCTATTCAACCTGCACTGGCCATGTGGGGATTCCAAAAAGCCAACCGTTTTGGAGTTGCTTTCAGGCTTTCGGCATGGGGTCTCTCACTCAAACCCACTCAGTGGGATCTGGTATAAGGAAGGAGAAGGGGCCTGTTAAGAGGCCCCTCACTGTCCTTGCTGCTGATTCACAACCCTCCATCATTTACCCATGGCTGAGACCTGGAAACTCTACGTCTCAAAAGTATGCCTCTTACTTGATTACAGCCCTTGGGAGGTCAGGACTTCCTGAACCCTGGATTTTATAAAGTCAAAGGGTCATGCAGCTCAGAAATAGACCTTTCAGTCCAACTCATTCATGCTGGCTTCCCAAACTAAACTAATCCCATTTGACTGCATTTGATCCATATCCCTCTCAACCTTTCCTATTCATGTAACTTCCAAATATCTTTTAAATGTGTAACTGTACCTGCATCTAATACTTCCTCTGGTTGTTAATTCCAAATACACATCACCCTCTGTGTGAAAAAGTTGCCCCTCAGGTCCCTTTTAAATCTTTCCCTTCTCACCTTAAACCTATGCGCTCTAATTTTGAACTCTCCTACCCTGGGAAAAAGACTTTGGCTATTCACCCTATCCATGCCTCTTTTATACACCTCTTATAAGGTCACCCCTCAGCCTCCTACGCTCAAGGGGGGGAAAAAACAATAGCCCCAGCCTATCCAGCCTCTCCCAATAACTCAAACCTCCGGTCCCAATAAATCCTTGTAAATCTTTTCTGCGCCCTTTCCAATTTAATAACATCCTCCCTATAGCCTTTCATTGGCCATGCCTAATTGGCACTTAATTCAGCAAGTCTTTTGGAAAAGGGATGACATGGAATTCTTTCAGAGATAGTAGGAACTGCAGATGCTGGAGAATCTGAGATAACAAGGTGTAGAGCTGGATGAACACAGCAGGCCAAGCAGCATCAGAGGAGCAGGAAGGCTGTTCATCCAGCTCTACGACATGGAATTCTTGTTGGCTTTCCAGTCACGGACAAAATCCCTATCATCTCTGTTATATAGCACCTATAGATTTGCTAGGATTTGGAAGGTTAAGGGCTGATCTGATCAAAGTCTTCAAGATATTAAAAGGAAAAGACAGGGTAGATAAGAATAAACTATTTCCATTGGTTGCAGATTCTAAAGGTAGGGTCATAGTCTAAGAACTAGGGCCAGACCGTTCAGGAGCGATGTTGGGAAACACTCCTACACAAACAGAGGGTGGTAGAGCTTTGGAGCTCTCTTCCACAAACAGTACTGGGTGCTAGATCAACTGTTAATTTTATATCTGAGAAAGATAATTTTTTGTTAAGCAAAGATATTAAGGGTTATGGGCCAAAAGCATAAGCATGGAGTCAGGTCACAGATCAGCCATGATCTTATGGAATGGCAGAACAGGCTTGAGGGACTTAATGGCCTACTCCTGTTCCCACAGTCCTTTGTTCTGAATGGAAAGGGACTATCAGAATGATGTGAAGAGTGTTAATATAATCTTGTTATTGATTTGTGCTTATGTTATCATAATGTTAGTTTTTAACTTGTTAAACTAGGGAGAAGGTGTTGTGCTTAAATTGGAATGTCTTAAAATAGTTCAAAGATAGTGATGACAGGACCCTTGAATCAACTTTTAGAGCACCAGCATATTTTAGTACAAACTAACAACCTACTTCATAAGAAAGTTAATTGGAGCCATTACGTATTTACTCCCAAGTTACAGGGAGATTGCATTCAATAATATGGATGCATAGATAACAAAAAATGCTGTTAAAAGAAAACATCTTATTATTCCAGTTTATAATTAAACTCATGCTGAATTGGACAGAATCGAAGACAGATCTACAAATATAGTTTTCACCTGATGGAAAACAATTATCATGGAATCATAGATTGTTACAGCACAGTCGAAAGCCATTTGCTCCATCACATCTATGCCAGCTTTTTGGTAGAGCTATCCAATTAACTCCCCATAGCCTTGTTATTTTGTTATTCCAATTCCGTTTTGAGGAGTATTATTGAATCTGATTCAATCACTGTTTTAGGCAGCACATTCCAGATCACAAAAACCTCCTCTGTAAAAAAATAAAATTCTTCATGTCACTTCTGGTCCCTTTATGAACCAACTTTAAATCACTGTCCTCTGGTTACTGAGCTCTGTCACTGGAACCATTCATAATTTTAAACACCTCTATCAGATTTTTTTTTAAAACTTTCTCTGCAGAGAAAAACCTCAATATTTGCAGTCTCTCCATAAACCAAAATCCTTCATTCTTATACCAATAAATCTTTACTGTGCTTTCTCCAAACCCTAAACATCTTTTGGAATATGCAATGCCAGAATTGAACAAATAAGTCCATTTGAGGCCTAAACAATGCAGTATGAAGGTACATCATAAACTTTTTTTGTACTTTGAAGCTTGGGCATCACATATGCTTTTTCAATAGCCTCCTTGACTTGTCCTGCAACTCTCAAAGATTTATATGCCTACATCCTCAGATCTCCCTCTTTCTGCATTCCCTTGAAGATTATAGCTTATATCTCTTCATTCTTCCTATTAACATCTTTCACATCACACTTCTCTGTAACCAAACTCATTATTGATTACTATAACTGTCTCCAGTAATTCAATAGGTAATCAATTTAATCAACCAGGTTCCATGTAAATGTCTGTAGCTACTGCTGGAAACTTGAAAAAATGCTAAAATTCAACACAATAACTGTCATTATTATAATAAAAATTGGAGCAAATATTATGATCTTGTCGTCCATGTGGCAGAATTAAGGCAGCTTATCCTTTCCGACATAACTAAGCCTGACTAAACATGCAGAAAAATATCTGCCAGTTCCATTTCCTCTTTAGCTTGAAATGTTTTAAAAATGATTCCTGAAATTCTTCAAATAAAACAGAACTTTTGAAAAAATGTTGCACTTGAAACAAAACAAATTTTACACTCACATATCGCTCCCAGTCGATTTCTGCATAAAATCCATTTGGAGCACCATTACTTTTCTTCTGCAAATAATTAGAAAAAGGATTTTACCAGAGCTGTTTATGTTTCCATATTCAGATTTTAAGATAAATTATTTGTCAAAATTGTAAACTTTTCATTCAGTGACTGTGGAGTTTTATCGTAGTAAGGACAGGGGAATACATTGGTAAATTTGGGGCTGTGAGTATGTTTATAGATGAATAACTACGCCATATTTGGTGATCAAGATAATTTGAGGGGTCCCTAATATTTGTCTAACCCATGACATGACAAGGATTCTGCCTATCTGTTGGGTATTATTCTTTGTGGGGCACTTGGATGTGCCATAAGCCATTGGTCCCATTTTGACCCTTGGAAGTAAGTTTGGTTGTGTTGGCTGGTGGAAAATCTGACAGCTCCAATCTGGCCTCTACTTTTAGTCCTGAATCCGTACACTGCTTACTTATGAATGACAAATGTCTAACTGATATTTTGCTGATGCTAGCTGTCAGAAGAGTACTGCTTCACTATAGCGAGAGCTTCTGGCAGTCAACAGTGACAGCTGTGTTGAGCTAGACTGTATACTGCAGAAAAAAAACTCATTTTCCAGCAGGCAACAGCATACAAAATGCAGGAAGGATTTCCATTCTCTCAGTGGTAAACAGACTTGCTGAATGATAATGAGCCTATCCGGACAAAAACATTCCAGCTGTGATTCCCTGGAGATGATCAGAATTTGGGAGTGTATATGATGCATGGTATTCTTCATGTACTATCTAATTCACTCTGCTATGAAAGGCAATTGGAAGGCTATTTTTTTCTCCTTTGCATCTGCCACTCCAATCTCATGCAGTTTTGGACACACACACACACACACACACACACACACACACACACACACACTCACACATACCGCTTCTATGAAGTGCATGGGAGTACTTCTTTTAAAACCATGCTCGCTAAAAGGCATAAAGTGGGAAAATGTTATTAATTCCTTAGGATTCATCTAGTGTGGAGACATTATATATGTATGTATGTATATTTATGTATAATATACACAGTTAAAAAAAGATTTACCAAAAGATTTACAAAAAACCTACTACCTTCTGACAGATCTGTGACGTAACCTATCTTTCACCTATATTCTCAATGCCTAGCCTTTTCTAAAGCATTGTAATTGTCCCTTCAACCTATGAACACTTTAATTGTTGATTGTTCATTATTTCCTTGGATGAAAGAATCCAACTGTGTCCCTTCTTTACTTCTAACTCTTAACAAGCAAAATCAGCCAAGGAATTATATACTCATATCAATATTCTGTTCATGTAATAACTAAAATGATTGTGTTACCTAATGAATTGATGTATTCATACCACAATCAATATTAATGATTTAAAAAAAACTATTTTAGACCATAATGATTGCTTTTAAATACTGTTTGCTGATCGATATTTTTTAGGTTTGATAAAATTGCTAAAAAAAATTGTACATGCTGTTGAAACTTTCCACCTTGTACTCATCACGACAGAAGTAGGAATGCCAAATTTCAAAGGGATAAAAAAAACTACACTGTATGAGAAACAGGATGCCAATCTGTTGGCAAGCGGACTTTAATTGGTCGAGATCTTGGCATGCAAAAGCATTAGGGAATAATTACCCCAAGGCTAATGCATTGTCCATGGTAATGCCTCAGTCAATCCTGATGAGAACCATACAAAAATATTTGAAAGCCAATAGTTAAGTTCTGTACTGCCAAGTGACTACTTGATATAATTGTAAGGTTTGAACTCATTCCTTTCTCGCACATTTTTGTTTTCTCGTCACACATCCATTGCAGCAGAAGGGACGAACTGTTTCAAATTCATGTTAGACATTCGAGAAAATAGCAACTAAATGAAATCATGAATCAAGTTAAATACAGTTTGTCCCCAACTTGAATTAATAATAAGTTACTTTAAGTTCTAGAAGATGACAAAGGAACAAATTCACATCATAGGCACAACCTTAAAATTAGTGTCAAACATTATGAATCATTCTGTCTTTAACTAGCAAACTTATTATTTACTATTGATTGTTTTCCCATTTTCTCCAATTGTCAGTTTGATGTTACTGCAGGCTCTGCTTCCCTTATCCTAAATCATATCAAATCCCATTCATCTATCACTTGTGTGCTCACTAGTCTATGCATTCATTTTAAAATTCTTATCTTTGCTTTCAAATCCCTCCATGGGTTCACTCCTCCAAATGTCCAAATTTGTGCAGCTCAACAACCTTCCATAAACCTGTCCATTTTCCTTTCTGAACTTCCCTGATTTTAATCTCTCTATTATTGGCAGCCAGAACAACAATTGCTCCCAACTAACTTCTGGGATTCCTTCCCTAAACCTTTCTATCCTGATACTTTTATTTGCTCCTTTAAGGTTCTCCAAAAAAAATCTACCCTTTGACTACATTTATGGTCATGCACCCTGACATCTCCTTCGACTGGGTTTTGTGCTCAGTCACTTGTGGTTTTGAAACTGGGGGTTGGTGGAGGGTTATGGAGGTGAGTAGGTGAAGGGGGCAGGGATGTGAGGAGGTTCATAGGCTCAGTGGTGACCTTCCTTTAACCTATCCACTCATCCCAAAGGTGTCTGTAATGTTACCAGGAGCATGGGAGACATCAGGCCACCTGCCTGCCTGCCCTTCATCCTATTGATACCCTATGTCATCAACTAATGACCATTCACTAATGACTAATCACCCTACATCACCAATGCCTTTTCTGTGGAGCAGGGAGGCTCAAGCTAAAAGGGAAGCCTTTCAACTTCAGTTGCATGGGATGGTTTCAGCCAGGAGGTTAGGGGAACCTCCATTGTGTCCCCTCTGGCCAATCAGAGGCACCCTCACAAAGCTCATCCTCTCCTTTCTCCTTTGGGGCACAGATCGACACTTGTACTCTACCAATATTTATATATATGGTGCCATCTTACCTAAGCATTCCTAACCTTCCCCTTGGCCTGTGAGCATGGCCTCCCCATCCCCTCTCCTCAAACCCTTGGAACTATGACTCTGATGGTTTCTCGGTGCAACGAGACTGCCTGTAGTCCCAGAATATGCTCTCACCTGGCACTGCAGTGATACAGAGCTGTTGGTCATTCATTTGGCTGATAGTTGTCTAAGACAGGGCCTCTTACTGAGAAAGGGCTGGAGATCTGGCCTTAAGCAATGAACGTTGCTATTTATAATGTTACAGGACAGCTGTCATGATCATGGTCAGGACTCCCACTGATATTCTAGCTGGAGGCAAGTTTTTAGCGGCACCCCATAAAACTCAAGTCTTGGTCAAGTTTTGCTTGATAACACTTGGTGAAGCACCTTGGGACATTTTACAATGTTAGCTGCATAGCATGAATAAATATAGTTATTGTTGTTGATCATTTGTTTTCGGTTCACTGGCATTTTCCTTTAAGCTCTTAAATGTGTCACATGATATTTGAAGTATGTTTTGCCACAGCTTTAATTGTTGCTTGTCAATGAAGCAAAGAACAGTTTAGTTACTGCATTTAATTTACACCTTAAGGAATTGAAGTCAACAATGGACAGGCCCTTACCTACCGTCTTAAATAATCCAAAGAGTGTGCACACTACTTGTTACAGGACAATCCTGGCATTTAAACCTTCCTAAAAGTTCAACTATTCCTTAAAATAACATAGGCTACTCACTCTCATACTCTGTAACTATGGTGGGGGTGATCAAAACTTTTTAATGAAAGATTTATATTGCAAAACATTCTAGTGAGAGGCTGCTTGTGCTCAAAGGTAGAGGGGTCAACTGTGACCGTGAGCACTATGACATACAACTGCACCTATTGTAATATGTAGGAATTATTCATTTAAGTTTCGAATAATTAGTCCAAACAAATATTTATTTAACCTGAATATTAACCATTCAACAGATACATTTTCTGTATACTTACAGTTCCATCTCGATCTGGCGAACCCCTGTAGGAAAAAGAGAGAACATTTCTTAAACAAGAATGGAGAATTAATTATGACTATAACACAGGACAACTACAAACCAAATTAGCAGTCTTTTGTACTGATACCACTAGTACACAGGCTTCGGCTGAACTGCATTTTTGACCATTCATTTATATGGAAAAGTTGTAGGATTTGACACCTTCACATATGTATTATGAACAGATTACTTTTGTAATTATGTACATTAGGGCAAACTAGCTACCTTTCAGCAAGAGATAGTAGGAACTGCAGATGCTGGAAAATCTGAGATAACAAGATGTAGAGCTGGATGAACACAGCAGGCCAAGCAGCATCAGAGGAGCAGGAAAGCTGACGTTTCGGGCCTAGACCCTTCATCAGAAATGGGGGAGGGGAAGGGGGTTCTGAAATAAATAGGGAGAGAGGGGGAGGCGGATAGAAGATGGAGAAAGGAGAAGATAGGTGGAGAGGAAACAGACAGGTCAAAGAGGCGGGGATGGAGCCAGTAAAGGTGAGTGTAGGTGGGGAGGTAGGGAGGAGATAGGTCAGTCCAGGGAGGACGGACAGGTCAAGGGGGCGGGATGAGGTTAGTAGGTAGGAAATGGGGGTGCGGCTTGAGGTTGGAGGAGGGGATAGGTGGGAGGAAGAACAGGTTAGAGAGGCAGGGACGAGCTGGGCTGGTTTTGGGATGTGGTAGGGGGAGGGGAGATTTTGAAGCTTGTGAAATCCCTTCCCCTCCCCCATTTCTGATGAAGGGTCTAGGCCCGAAACGTCAGCTTTCCTGCTCCTATGATGCTGCTTGGCCTGCTGTGTTCATCCAGCTCTACACCTTGTTACCTTTCAGCAAGAAACCAGTGGGAACAAAGTAGTGCAGTTGGTTGACAGTCCTTTTACTTTCTTAGGCTTAGGTTGGTTCTTGACTAGAATGACAGAGTGTAATTCATCCCTCTGATAGCTGCAAAGGCCCCATCAGAAAGTAGTTTCGTAGAACCTTATTCAGTTCTTATTTACAAAGATGGGAACTGTACCCACTAACCATAGATTGAACGAAAAGCTTTCTTACCATTTTAAATTGTTTTTTGTAGAATGTAACAACTGTCAATCATATGATTTCAATGATGTGCAATTTTATGAAATGTCATTCAACAGGAACAAAATGAATCTATCAATAACACCCCTCTTGTGATAGTGCTCATTTCTCACTTCTCGTGGTAATCAGCAATTTAACAAGTTGAGCAGTTGAGGAGTCCTTATCCAGCATTTGCAGTGCAGTACTTTAGTCTAATTTGTAGAAATGTTGATGTAACTTAAACCTCAGGTTTCACAACACTTAAATACAGATCTGAATATTTTCCCAATTTAAAGCATATTGTTTATAAAGCAGCACAACGTACCCTGTAACTCCCATACAATGGCTACTATTTTTGCACACTCCCCGTGTAAACCCTGATTAATTGCATTTCTTTGACTCAATACAAAGGGAAAGTCTCTGATTAGTTATTAAATACTGCATAAATGTCAGAAGTGAAGAATCAATGCTACCTGTAGTAAGGCTACTGGTTTAGATTTATTGTCACATGTATATAAAAATATAGCGAAAAGTGTTTTTTCACTTGCAAAATGCAATGTGTCCCCATGCTCCAGCACCATCTTGAAACACTGGATATTATGCAAGATGGTACTGCATTAGAGTTTATCTTTCCCTCTTCTTGTTACCCTCCACAACTCCTCCGTTCGCTGCTTGATGTCGGCTGGGGTATCTGTAACTGGCTCCGGGGTCTCAGTTAGGGGCCTGCTGCCATCCCACCAGCTCTCCCAGCGTGATCCCTCCTTGCTGTTAGGATCATTTATCAGGATCAAATGGCAATACACTAAGCCTGTTTTGTTTATTTTTTGAAAATCGAGTCCAGGATGTCACTGATAGCAGCAGCTCAGATCTTTCCCTTGTGATGTCAAGCAGCCAGGACAGAGGACTGGCTTCCTCTCAGTGCACGGTATTGTTGACTGCACTTATATTGCTTTGAGAGTGCCCGAACAGAACCTGCAGAGTTTGTGAATGTTCAAATCATATGCAAAAATTGATGCCAAATTCTAAAGTTTTGCACCATGTATCCTGGGAGCAGTGTTGACTCACATGCAAGAGAACTCATAAGTTCCTGCTGTCTTCCAAGGTCCCTGGGCCATATAGAGCTGCCTGAGCAGAGATTAGATGTTCCCCTTCCAAACATTGCTCACAGAACCTTTACAAAACCTTCAGGCTGATGCAGAACAAAGATATAACACTGCCCATGCTTCCATTGGGGTCATAGTGGCTTCGATGCCTGGTGGGATCTTGCAATACAGTCCAGAAAGGGTGTCTCACAATTGGGGCCAACAAAGAAGGGAGGGTGCTGGGATGCAGACAAAATGGAAGCCAATAGCAAACTTCTGAGGATGGAGTTGAAATTGAGGATCAGAACATTGACAAGTAGAAAGTATGAACTGAAAACGTATCACTCTGAAGCCAGAGAAAATGCGATTGAAACCTGGTTATAGGGTAAATGAACTTGGTCATACTCTTCTCGAGCCAGATCAATGTTTTTTTCTTCACAGAGAGTCAAGAACCTGATCTCTGCCAACATCCCCTGCTCTCTTTTCCAGCAATCAGACAAAGGGAGAGTTTGAGTATGATGGAAGTGGATTCAAGGGCAGTTAGTGGTGATGTACGAGCAGAAGAAATGGTGAGGAATCCCCCAGTGAGTGAGTAGGAAACGTATACAGCATGAACCAACTGGTAGTTTGAGAGGATGAAGTCGATGAGCGGACATTTTGCACACAATAGTATGGGTTGTGGCCCTGGAACTTTGAAATGAGTGTGCAGTGACACAGTTAGAGTGAATGCTGGAGAAGATGATATTAAGTAACGTTGCAGAGCATAGATTTTCATTGACATTTGATCTGCATTGCTGGATGTCCCACTTCACTTAGGACAGAGCACTGACCCATGCTGCAGTCTGAGTCCAGGGGTGATGACTGTTTCCATTGGCAGTCCTCAGGGAGAAAGTATGCTCTCCTCAACGTCACTCCAGTCCTTGGCTATGAAGTGGGGAGTTAGTTGCATTTCTTTAGAGCCAGGTTTTAGGGATTAGGCTCTAACACCACAATGTGAAAGGTCATTTCTAGCTTTCAGTGTCTATGGTGGTGTATAGTTGGCTTTAAATATGGTGCTAGAGACCTGTAACTGTATTGCTTCAGCAACTTTTTGAAACGCTGGAACATCATGTTGGAATCCCTATCTACCCTGATATTCCCTACATGGGAATTTCAATCATACTCCTCTGGGTAGTTGCCAAATAGAAGCCAAAAACTTCTTCACAGGGGGAGGGAAATAGTTTTATTAAAGAACTCAATGGTGCCATTAATGTGTGAAGTTGATATAACTCTGTTTCTAATTGAAGACACCAAAAGTAGGAGAGGGAACAGCTCTGGATATTGATGTAGTGAGGGGGGGCGGAAATGGAAACTCAGTGAACACATGGAGTAAAGTGTAGGTCTAAATTTTGTGTGTAAGTCTGGGAAATCTGACTAGATCCGACAATGTTTTGAGAGGTGAGAACAACAACTGAAAAGAGGATAATACAAGATGGAAATGGGAAATAAAATAGCTGTCATGAGGGTGGAAATCAGCCAACTCGTCATTAACATCAGGCCAAGAGGAATCTCACTCAGGAAAAGGGATGCCCCATAGTTTTGTTTTGAGACCTGGAGGATTTAAAGAAAACAAATTCTGCCAGATGTCTCCTTCTGGCTCTGGCACTTGTTGCTGGTTTATTTTGATTACCAAGGAAGCCAAGTCTGCTTCCTTACCTCAGCCTGCTGTTGGCAATGGCAGGTCAAGTCCAGTTGACATTGGAGCTTGATCTGCATATTTGAAGAGCAGCCCATTGGATTGAAAGCAGACATGCTGATCACCGCGGTTAAAATTACAATCAGTGAGATAGAACCAGGAGAGTAAACGCTAGCCCTGCACTCTACTTTAACGGCACCATCCAGCATGTGGTGGATTGAAAAAAAGTCACATTATTGTGAGATTGCTTAAAAATATTTCCATAATTATGAGGTATTTCCAGATCTCATTTATCTTGTGCTAAGTTTGGTAATGGTTAGAGCCCTGCCTTCCAGATATGAAAAGTGATTTTGAAGCTTCCAGGTTCAATTCTTGTCAGAGGTCATCAATGTCCACTGCAACACAGATGATCTCTCATAAGTAGGCTGGGAACTTAGAAGATAACAAGGTATAGAGCTGGATGAACACAGCAGGCCAAGCAGCATCAGAGGAGCAGGAAGGCTGACGTTT